TGCTTACGTCAGTCGTGAAATCGGTCACTGGTGGCTCAGCCGCAACTTCTGGAAAGTTTCTGCCCAGCAGGTGAATTATTCCCTTTCCATTCATCATTCAATTCAATTACAGTACTGTACAACTTTTGGTGTTTTTTTTTTACTCACTCTTGCATAGGCTGTGCTGGCCATAATTTTGTTCCTGGCTTGGTATGTGATGGGATTCGAGGAGATTATTGAGGTGGGACTCGGACCCGGCGAGAAACCCCTTGTTTTGCAACTCACGTTTCTTCTGGCGACGGTCTTGTACCCGGCTGTTTTGGTGAGTACAGTAGTGCTTTTGTCAAGTGTTTGTCATTACTGGGGAAATAACGCAAGGAATATACAGTAATTAAAGAAATACACGCAGGTAAAAGAAAATATTAATCTTTATGCGAGTAATAATCGGCGAATATTATTTTTCGGCCTAAATCTGATGATGACGGATGAACTTTCAAACACACATACGAGTGTTACTCTTATTTTCTTACATTGCATAGAAACGAGTTTATGAATTGAAAAGTAGGCGTCTACTTTTGACTACTGATCAATTTATCATATCAGCTCTGTAAAACGAATGAATTTCATGCAATTCTAAATACTGTATAGTCAAACTTATTCAAGTCGAGCTTCGAAAGACCAACGAGAAATTCGAGTTGGAGAGGTTTCCGGTTTGAGAAAAAATGCATTTGTGTTCTGGGAAATGACGAAGAATCACAGGAAGTTGCTATTTGTGAAATTCTAAGCTTTGAATTGCCTCTTGAATGAGTTGTCAAAATGCTGAGGCATTTATTTTCCGATTAGTCTCTGACTTCCTTTCAAACACAAATAAAGTTATCTTTTTATACCTTACCTCTTTCCTGTGTCAATAAAGAAATCGTCGAAATGCCTCCAGAAAATGTGAGCTATGGAGGTTTGCGGAGGAAATCAATGCATTAAATGCATTGTTTTAAAGGGAATTTAGACAGAGACTTGAGCAGATTCATTTCGGTTTTGTTGGTACTGTATTTTAAACTGGGAATATAAAAAATGGGTCAGACAGGATCGTCTATTCCAAACCCTTGTGGAATCAAAATGAGGACCTAATAAATTAACATTTTAAACTTGACTATTCCGATTCTTGTCAATATCGGAGGGCAAAAAAGGGAGC